AAAAGGTTTATCTTGTTTGTGACTCTGCATGTGAAGGCTCTACTGATGCTAGCAGAATTAATAATCTAATACCGTGGAGAATATTAAGCATCCATTTTTATTTAAAAAAAAATTACCCCCTTCTAGACTCCTTTCCAAAGTTGAAGAAAAAGTTAACTTCCCCAGGGAGGTGGGTTGAAAATTGTTGTCTCTAGTCTCATGCAAACTTGAACCTTAACAATGTCAGAAAGAAGTCAGATTAGCCATCAGGAAGAGCTTTGTAAATTCAGACTTCTGCCAAGATAGAGTCTTCTCTGTTTATTTCTAAGAGACCTAGGTGCTCTTAGAGGTCACCTCATCTGGACTGTAACCAAATACTGAAGAAAAGTCATAATTCTACATGAGCATAGTGTACTATCTACATAATTGTACAATCTGCTGAAAGTTCAAATTTAGACTCTCTACATCCCTGAAAGTCTGGCTTCCATAGCCTTTATCTGGGGCTAAGACAGACTCAATAAAACTGCTGACATGCACATGAATATGCACTTATCCTCCACATCCAACACTGTATAATCTGAGTAAACTGTAAGGTTCTAAAATGTTAACTGTGTTTACCTCTGCATGGAGGGATTTCCAATGATTATGTGTTCTATTCTTTCTTCTTCGTGGTTTTTCATTGAGAATATAGTACTTTTGAAATTGTATTAAATTATACTTTTGAAATTAGAAAAAAAAAGGTCTTTAAGATCATTAAATTATATATTAAGAAATTTGTTTCTGGTCCAGCCTATAAGAAGCTGGAATATGCCACTCTGTCTTAAACAAGAAGTAAAAAGCTAACCAAACTGAAAAATCAACAACTCCTCTTAGACCCTACAGAGAAGTGAGATCACAGGGAAAACTACTGCCTCCAAAATTACACAGATCATCAGACAAATACAGGAAGTCACAAACCTCCATGGGAACCAGTACCAGGTAGGGAAACCTGAGCTGAAACTGATGAATTGGTACCGAGTCATCAGGGGCCCCCACACTTCTGTGAATTTTACCTCCAGGAGCTCAATCAAGCTCTCACAGTATATACTGGAGAAAAATCTCCTCTTGCTTCTTGCAGGAGGAGGGGAAAGGAACCATTTTTAAACACTCCAGAGCATTCTGTTCTTCTTATGATGGTCTGCCCTTAGGAGAAACTATTTAACCAGAGCCTAACCTGCTGACATTTTATCAGAGCTTAACTGACCTGGGGGAAGAAAACACATAACCCCAGCCTACTATAACCATTCTGTTCCACCTAAGGAGGAGAGGAGTCCTGAGAAGCATGTGTGGAGTTCACAATCCAGGGGAACCAGCTCACTAAAGGACAGAGATCTACTCGTAGGACCAGCGAATGCTTCCTCTCCCTCCTCTTCACCATCAGGTTTCTAAAGGTCTATTTACAGCAGTTCCTTGTTCCCATTACCTCATGTCCAGCTATCAAGGAAAAGTTATACGACGTACTAAAAGATAAAAAATACAGTCTAAAGAGACAGAGCAGGCATTAGAACCAGACTGATGCAGGAGGCATGTTGGAACTAACAGACAAGGAATTTTGAAAACTCTGATTAAGATGCTAACTATTCTAATGGCTAGACAACATACAAGAACAGACAGGCAATGTAAGCAGACAGATAGAAATCCTAAGAACCAAAATAAAATGCTATAGGTAAAAAACACTCTCTAACAAATACAAATGCCTTGATGGGCTTATTTGTAGACCAGATATGGGTGAAGAAAGAAGTTCTGAGCTTGAATATATCCAAATAGAAACCTCCAAAAATGAAAAGCCAAAAAAAAAAAAAAAAAAAAAAAAGAAACTGCAAAGAAAAAAACTACCAGTCCCACGAACAGGATATCCCCAAACTGTGGGACAACTATAAAAAGTGTAATACATGCCCAACAGTAATACCCAAAGAAGAGAGAGAAACAGAACAAATATTTGAAAAAGCAATAAAAATTGCCTCAAATTAATATCAGATACCAAATCACAGATCCAAGAAGCTCAGAAAACACCAAGCTGGAGGAATGCAAAATTATACTACACATAACAAATATCATTTTCAAACTACAGAAAATCAAAGATAAAGTTCTGGGGAAAAAAATGGGAAAAAAAAACACCTGACCTATAGAGGAACAAAGAAAGGTAAGAATTATATCCAACTTCTCCTCAGAAACCATGTAAGCAAAAAAATGAAATGAAATATTTAAAGTGTTAAGAGAAAAAACCACCTACTTAGAAGAATTCTGTATCCTGTAAAAAATATCCTTCAAAAGTGAAGGAGAAATAAAAACTTTCTCAGACAAACAAAAATTGAGGGAATTTGTTACCGACAGACATGCATTGCAAAATATTAAATTAAGTTATTTAAGGAGAAGGAAAATTATATAAGTCAGAAACTTAGATCTACGTAAACAAAAGAAAAGTATTAAAGGAGGAGTAAGTGAAGGTAAAATAAAAACATTTCTTTTTCTTATTCTTAATTGATCTAACAGATAACAGTTTGTTCAAAATAATAATAGCAATGATATATTCAATCATATATGCATAGTGTGTACTATTAGAATGGCCAAAATGTACAACACTGACAACACCAAACACTGGCAGGAACTCTCATTCATTCATTGTATCATTCAATACAAAATGGTATAGCCACTTTGAAAGACAATTCGGTGGTTTCTTACAAAGGTAAACACTTACCAAAGGATCCAGCAATTGTGCTTGTTGGCATTTGCCCAAAGGCACTGAAAACTTACATCTACACAAAAACCTACACATAGGTATTTATAGTAGCTTTATCAATAATTGTCAAAACTTGGAAGCAACCAAGATATCCTTCAGTAGGTGAATAGATAAGTAAACTGTGGTACAATGGAGTATTATTTAATGCTAAAAAGAAATGAGCTATCAACCATGAAAAGAAATGGAGGAAACTTAAATGCATATTACTAAGTGAAATAAGCCAATCTGAAAAGGCCACATACTATATGATTCCAACTATATGACATTCTAGAAAAGACAAAACTATGGAGACAGTAAAAATATCAGTGGTTGTCAGGGATTAGGGGAGGGATGAATCAGCTCAACACAGAGGATATTTAAGGCAGTGAACTATTCTGTATGATACTACAGTGGTAGAAACATACCATTTCACATTTGTCCAAACCCATCAAATGTACAACACAAAGAGCAAACCATAATGTAAATTATGAACTGTGGGTGATGATGTGACAATGTAGGGTCATCAGCTGTAATAAATGTACAACTCTAGTGGAGAATACTATTAATGGCGGAGGCTCTGGATGTATGGAGACAAAGGGTAAATGGGAAATCTCTGTACCTTCTGCTCAATGTTGCAGTGAACCTAAAGCCACTCAAAATAAAATAAATTCAATTTGTAAAACTTAATTAGTAAAGACTAAACACCTCCCCCCAAAAAGTACAGAAATCCTATCTTAGTTTTCCTTCGTTGTGTAACAAATACCCCCAAAACCAGTGGTCTAGAACAACAATAGACATTTTTTATTTCACTTCTGTGGATCAGGAAGGGATAGCTTGGTTGGGTGGCCCTGGCTCAGGCTGCATTTGGAATGTTGGCTGGGGGTGTAGTCATCTGAAGGGTTGACTAGGGTTAAAGGATCATTTTTCAACATGTTTTACTCACAAGGCGTTGGCAGTAGACTCAGTTTCTTGCTGCAGGAGCCTTGAATGTCCTCATGACACTGCAGCTGGCTTTGCCCAGAGCGAGAGGTCTGAAAGTGAACAAGGTAGAAACCACAACGACTTTAATGACTTAGTATCAGAGATCACACATGTCACTTTCATCATATGCAGTTTATTAGAAGCAATTTTGAAGGAAATCTGACAAAATATTAATATTTGTTACTTCGACAGTGGAGAATATATGAAGTTTATAATTCTCTTTAGGTTTTTCTCTGGTTTTTGCATGTTTCATAATTTTAAATAAATGTTTATGAAAAAAACTTCTTTATTTGGTAAGTAGATGTTTTATTACACCTCTTACTATCCCTGAAACTGTTCTTTATGTATTCTGTCTCTTTGTGATTGAATATTCTCTGGGCCTGTTTCCTCATCTGTGAGGTAAGACGGGTGAAAAAAGGGTCATTTAAGATTCTTTGTAGCTCAGATACCTAAATGCCTTTCCCTTTCATCCCCTGACACCCCACTCCGCTCGCTTTTAAGTTTCGTTATGCGATTCCATTATCAATCCATCTTCCTTTCCTTTGTGTAAATCTCCTTTTCCGAAAAGTCACCTGGAAACATTTGACCAAAGCATGCTTAGCAATCAGGTTTGCTAAAACTCTAGAGAAGTTTTTTATTTTCCATTTAAATGTTCTACATTTTCATCTGTTATCTCTGACATAAAAGAGGTGTAAGGAGCACGAGGAGGTGGTAATAGAGATGTTCCGTGGGAGCAGGGGTGCTACTGCGATCTTACCTGGACATCAGACTCCAGCCAAGGAGCAGCTAACTTGGGATGGACTAAATGAGTCCGTCTTAACTCTGTGTACAATCTGGGCAGGTCATCGCGGGCGGAACAAACCGTACTTTGCAGCTGGAGGTTGGAAGGGAGGGTAAAATCAGGGAGGGTGCGGGGAGAGAGGGCTGCCGGATCAGACACACCCTGTAGCATCTCCGCCTGAGGAGAAAGGTGCCCCTGGCTCCGCAAGCTCCGCAGAAAAACTGCGGAGGGCTGCTCGAGCCAAGTGAGCTCCGGCGGCAGCCCGCGCAGCCCGCGGAGGAGGGGGCGGGGGCGTCCGCGCAGCCTCCCAACCCGACTCTCCAGCCGCG